TTCAAGTTTAACGAGGCCGAAATCATCGCAAGAGGTGACAACCGCGTGAGCCACGAGCTGCTCGAGGCATGTCCTTTAAGGCCTACAGTCAATTAACAAGCCCAACGAATTGTCGTTCCCATACTGCATACTGAGACACTGAGCAGAATAATCAGCCACGTGGGAAGGGCCTGACCCAGCAACAACTCCGACGACAGCGAAAATAATCTTCGCGCAATTATCAAGCCCGAATCCAACACGAACAACGAAATCGTGGCAATTAATGACTCGAAAGTGAACTACCAAGCCAACAACATAGCAATTACGACCCCAAGCGGTGGTCACAGGAGCTGACAATTATAATACGCGCGCGGGTGGCCGCTACAAACTATAAATACCGCGCAATCTGTGCCTGTCTCATACTATCCTACGGTTACCTATGATTGAGGATCGTCGACAAAATCCGAAATGTGAGGCGAATAAAATTATTGTTACAGCTATCGCATATTCTACTTCCGAACATGACACAATTAAAACAAGCAACAATCTGAGTCCGTAATAATTGGAGCGTCACAAGCGACAACATCTACAGTGTGCCTCACGGAATGGACGCAAAAACAGTGACCTATTCGTGAATTAATTTATACAAATAGTATATTTACGCGGCATCAATCGCACTTGCATCCCTCACTCTATTTTTTCCGATGCCAATACAGTGTCAAAACGATCAGAAGCCAGTGCGGGCACAGTAACTGACAAACGCTCATGGTTCGTCAATGTGCCCTACACACGTCCCGGTTCTCAGGTCATGCGCCACAGTGACAGTGCCATAAAGGGCACAGGAAGGAGCCGCTGAAGTCTATTAGTCCTTCAGTCACTCTAAATTTATTTCATGAGCACCGAGTTATGCCGATTGCTGGCAACCTTTTAAGATACGACTCTTGGCGGGTCGTGATGTAGTCAGACACGTCAGCTTTGTTATAGAGAGGAATATGGTAATTTGTCCTGGCAATTAACTCTTTTGCATCGACGCGGAACCAAGTAAGTACGAGGCCATGACTATCTGTCTTGCGAGACACGATTGACTAAAGTTGACCTGTCTCCTTTGGACTACAGACAACTGCGCGGCAACCCAATACAAGTGCTTCGCATACTGCGAGGTCGAGATTGATGTCTAGCATCCGGCGACTTTTTGAGTTGGTCATTGCCACTAGTTTGGGAGGACATCCTCTAAAATTATATATGACGGGGAAAGAGTGCACACAAGAATGTTTTCTTTCCCAATACATCGAGTTAGGCATGGAAGTCTCTGCTTATGGACATCACCTTGGCCCCATCTGTCGACACGTGGAAGCTTGACCGTACAGCCATACGTACCATCATGCCATCAGACACTAACACATGCCTTCCCCTTGCATCATTATGCACGAACTTTACACTTCACAAAACACACTACTCTTTATAGTCAAGTAACAATGCTTGCCTAAGTTTTCGTAAAATGCCCTCTATGAATCGGCCTTTATCCTTCGTCGCTATTGTAACCAGAGGGTAGTCTAAAATATTTGGCTCACTTTTCCCTTTACCGAACTGAACTTAACAGCCAGCTATTTAAAGTGGCAAATGTGGCAGCACTAACAGTCCTTGACCGATATTATAAAATGTTAACTGAAATCATGAAATACGGTTAATATTAGGAAGGATTACTTAGGTTCGATTGCAATGTTGACTATCGTGCAGCTAACCGAAGCAAATTCATGAAGTTAAACACCATTCAAAGGGAGATATGGCTACTTGGGAGTTTGATTGGATTATGGTGGGAGATACTTTCGTGTCAGTGATCGCAATCAATCCTTGTCTACCCATGGTGTTGCAATGGTAATAATTAGACTAGAGACGACCGCGGTCATGAGAAGTGACCAGACTTTTGCCTCGAGTTCCGCCTGCCGGTTCCTTATTTAGCACAAACCAGAATTCATTCGAACAACTGCTTCGAACAAATGCTTGACCTCCTTTTATATCTGACGCAACAACATCCTGCATTTTTGGGAGCCTAACATTCGCGTCTATCTGCTGCATAGTTGACCATGTCAACGGAATGGTCCTACCTTGTCGCAAGGACCAGTCCATGCCCATCTCAAGAGCCTCATCGAGAGCCTGGGAACTCATGGGTATAACACCCTTCGAGCCGACTCCCACGGGGATGTGGTCAAACAGGGCCTGCGTCAACTGTTCTTTGACGGGCAGAACGTCCTTGAGAGTGAGATTGGTGCGCAGAAGACGGACGCCACAGTTGATGTCGAAGCCGACTCCGCCTGGAGAAACAACGGCCATCGGGTCCTCCATATCGAAGGCGGCCATATTGCCTGAGGGCGAAGGAAAAAGGAGGAGAGAAAAGGTGTGAAATCAAACAATTTGAAATAAAATATTCACGAAACGCACTATCAAAGGCGAAAGAGGGAGGGGGGGAGTGGAAGTCGTGCCTAAGGCCCACTATAACTTTCGGTGGTCCTTCTACCTTTAGTCACATCCGAAAGTTCATTAGAACTACTTCCCAACAGCAGGCCCAAAGGAATTTGACTTTAAGTGTGTTTTTGTGATAATCAGTACCTCCGTACGAGCGGGCACTTATGTAAGTCAATGGCAAAGAATCGTATGAACGTAAACTACACCTTCATGGTACGTTCTAGTTGACTTTTTCCAAATTGTTCCCTGATTGGTCCATTTTTATGAATAGCGAAATCACAATTTATAGTACGTGGCCGGTCTCATGAAATGTCAACCGAAAATCTGAACTTCGTTTCTGATTACGAAGTATTAGGCAAGCCGGCTTGTGTGTGTGTCGTAGCCCATAGTTGGATCAGGAATCCCCGCCGGAATCCAAACTGGGAGTAGTTGGGAGACGGAGAAAAGTAGCGACCTCGACCGGCTTGAGCCACAGGTTCGCAGGAGTGAGGTGGGTGCCTGGCCGGGAAATGCAGGCGAACAGATGACGGCAGTCGTGCGGCGAGACGCCGCAGTCAGGTATGGATGGGTCGAGCCGGTGTTGGTACTGGCGAAGGAGCATGCAGTAGCCACTGCGTAACTGCGCCAGGGTACAGCGAGTGACCCTCGGGAGATGTCGTTCCGAAGCCGCAATCGGAGGTGGATAGCTACCCAAAAGGACTGGGGGAACGGTAACCTCGTTTCTCCTCGACAACAACGACTCTCTGGTGGAGACGCTGGAAGCCTGTCTTGGTGGCAGAGCTATCAACATTGTAACATTGGTTAGCGTGCAACATAATTCCGAGACTTAGAGACGCAAGGATGCCAGTCTTTTCAACCGCCTTCAAAAGGTGCACTCTGGATAAATGACCACTTCAGTAGTATGAAGTTATTCAAAGTAGTTTTGATACTCTTACGAATTCAAATATATTTTTTTGGAAAAAATACTCGGAAATAGCCTTGCTTGTACTTATTTCATAGCAAATCGCATCTTCTTCCAGTTTCATACTCCAAGAAATGGTGTTGAAAAGGTTAGCAAATAGGAGATTTTTTGCTAAGATAGTACAATGTACATTCATTTTTTTATCGTGCCCGTCCGTTTATTACTGGTTCTGTAGGTATACAACACATGCCACATTGATTGCAGAATTTTATGAGCACTATATGGAAATTTATTAATGGCATAGAGAAATATATGATTTCCCTTACATTGTAGACTGTAAACCCCAAAACACTATTCCAACGATGGGAAGTTAAGAACTATTTTAAAAGCAACATACGC